GAGTATATGTATCTATATAATATATAACATTTATAAAATATAATACATAAATATATATTTTTATGTAATATGTATGTATTATATAAATTATTATAAACATAAATAATTTATAAATAATATAATACCATAATATAAAAATTAATATATAATAATATAAATAAATAAATAAAATTATTATATATTTATATATTATATTTATAGTATTTATAGTGTTTATCACTTATATTATAATTATATTGTAATAAAGTGATTGTAAGCACGTGTTTTTTGGGGTGATATTCCTAACCTCACTGGTTAGACATTTATTTATGCATTTTATTAACTCAATTTCAACGGCTCCAAAACAATATCCTTGGCCTTGGTGGCATTTAAAATATTTTCTGCTGGCCCTGAAAAAAAAATAGTGCTGTAAAGGAACCTTACATTCATTTCTTGAGTTACAGATTGACCTACTCTGGTTAAAATTAAAATCAGAAATTTGGATTTTAGTGCCAAAAATTCAACTTGGTGTTAGGAGGAACTTAATATATATTATATATAATATAGATATAAATATATAATATATAATAAATAATATATAATATGTAACATATAATTATACTATATAATATATAATATATAATGTATAGTATATATAATATTATGATATATATTAATATTAATATATATTAATATTATATATTACATATATAATAAATATAAATAGATATATTTATAAATAGATATAATATAAATGGATATAAAATATATAAAATATATTTTATATTTATTTAATATTATAAATATAATATATAATATACACATATAATATTATAAGTTTAATATTTATTTAATATATTTAATATTATAAATATATAAAATAGATATAAAATAATATAAATAGATATTTATAGATAGATATAAATAGATATAAAATATATAAAATATATTTTATATTTATTTAATATTATAAATATCATATATAAATATAATATTATAAATTTAATGTTTATTTAATATACTTAATATTATAAATATATAAAATAGATATAAAATAATATAAATATATATATTTATATTTATTATGTATAAGACTTCAGTGGTTGTGGAGGGTCTAAAAAGCACCTCAGCACAACTCACATGGCTCTGCCTGTTTTCTTTTCCCCTCTGCACAGAGGAAGGGGTGAGTTGAGGTCGGAGCTTTCCCTGGATCTCCTCATTCCATGCGTGGAGGTCAAACCCTCAGACATTACACGCTTGGCTCTGGGCACAAAGTGATTTTTCAACTCAACTCAAACCATGTGTGATGTGGTGGAGGCTCCACCTCCCCTCCTGTCTCCCTTTTTCTTCTGTGGATTAAACCTTTCAAGTGAACAGGTGGACTTTTCTGCCTCCCCTTGTGATATGAAAGAAGCAGAAAACTCGATTAAAGGCGATTTATGGTCCCTTTGACTCCCTGACATGAGAGGCTTCAAGCTCGGAGTCGAGACTTGGGAAAACGGGAAGTTAAAATTAACCTCGAGCCTTTTCTAGATGAAAACCTCAACAAATAAACAGTGGTTTAGTGGCGTGGCAACCTGCCCCTTTAAATCCTGAGATGTCTATTTTTGAGTCAGTTTTGGGGTTTTTTTTACAGAAAGATAATTGGGTTTGGAGAAATAGAGGAGTAACTTGTGATTCCTGCTGGTGTGAGTTAAAGCAGAGTTTAAGGCTTGGAATTTAGCAATGTCTGGGGGTTTTTATGCCTTGTTTTTTGCCTCTATAAAAACCACTCTGTGCTCTCTCCAGGGAGAAAGTTCCATTAGAAACTTCCCGGTTGTTTCCAGTTTCCAGAAGTGGTTCAGGATGCAAAGATGGGCAGAAAGTTACAGCAATGAGATGTTCAGAAGTTCTCCTGGAATCACAAAATCATGGAATGGTTTGGGTTGGGAGGGACCTTAAAATAATACAGTCCCACCCCCTGCCATGGGCAGGGGCACCTTCCACCAGCCCAGGTTGCTCCAAGCCCCATCCAATCTGACCTTGGACACTTCCAGGGATCCAGGGGCAGCCACAGCTTCTCTGGGAATTCTATCCCAGAGCCTCACCACCCTCACAGTCAAGAATTCTTTCCCAATATCCCATTTAACCCTGCTTTTTGTCAGTTTAAAGCCATTCCCCCTTGTCCTGTCCCTTCATCCCTTGGCAATAATCTTTCTCCATCCTTCCTGTAACTTCCCTTCAAGTCCTGGGAGGCCACAATTAGGTCACCCCAAAGCTTCACATCTCCAGGCTGAACAACCCCAATTCCCCCTCCTTGACCTTCTGGCCATGTTTGTTTGTAGCCCTCTGCTCGGAAATGTAATAAACAAAAATAATAACAGGAAAAACATCAAATATCCCAACTCCCAAGAGGTCACAGAGGGGATCAGCCCTAAATCCAATCACACTTTGAACACCAAGGAAAACCCGTGCAGGGCCAGGAGTTGGACTCAGGGATCCTTGTGGGTCCCTTCCAACTCGGGATATTCTGTGATTCTGTGGAAAAATGATGGTGCTGGAGCTCTTTCCCACCCTATTCCCTTTCCCACCCTTTCCCTTTTTCCCCACTGACCCTGAAAAGATGAGCCCTGGAAGTCAAAAGGAGGCTACAGCAGAGATGGTCCCAAACGAGGGAGCTTCAGTTTGGGGTTTATTTTATGGGCAGTGACCACAAACCTCAAGGTTCTCAATGGAGAACACACATTGTGGATCCAGGGGGAAAGGGAAACCAGGAGAACAGGAGGGTATCCATGAGGAAACCTCAGTGGTTCCATCACTGTCTCTTCCTGGGCTGCATCCTGGGGTGAAAACCTTTAAAATGCTGTTTGTAAAGAGCAAAGCTGTTTGTGGGGAGAGCAGCTGGATCCATGGCTGGGCATGAAAACCCACGGATCTGCTGCTGGGCAGGAGAGGGACTTCCACAGGGAGCCAGGGAAGAGGGATCCTTGGTGTTAAACCCGATACTCTGCCGAGCACCGAGAGTTCCCAAGAAATTGAGAGTTCCCAAGAAGTTGAGAGTTCCCAAGAAGCCGAGGAATGTGAGTGTGCCACCCACACCTCCACCCACCTCGTGTCTGGCTGCTGAGCAGCCACAAAAATATCTGGGTTTTCTCTCACAGGAGCACAGGAGAGACCCAAAGGGGTTCACTCTGCAGGGCAGGGAAGGGAGAGATGGGATTGTGAGGGGCTGGGTTGGATCCTCCACCCGGGCAGGGAAGGGGCTGGGTGGTCCTTCCACCTTCTCTTTGTGCAGATTGCCAGGAGTAAAAATCAGGAGGTTTTTAGTAGGTTTAGATTAGATATTGGGAAGAAATCCTTCCCTGGGAGGGTGGAGAGATTTCCCAGAGAAGCTGTGGCTGCCCCTGGATCCCTGGAAGTATCCAAGGCCAGGTTGGATAGGATTGGAACAACGTGGTGTGGTGGAAGGTGTCCCTGCCCATGGCAGAGGGTGAAAATAGATGATCTTTAAGGTCCCTCCCAACCCAAACCATTCCATGAATCTCTGATGACTTCTCAAACACACCTGAAAACCAGCAGATTTGCCACAGATTTCACTAAACCAAAGACCTTCTAAACCTCAGGAATAAAAGAATGTAACTTTGTCTTGCCTTAGGTAAACGATATAACCTTTTCTGCTTGCAAGGAAGAGCACCCTGCTCTTAAAAATCAATGCCAAAAACAAGAACTTATTTTGATTCACAGAAACCATTTCTTTCCAAAACCCCAACACTGAACCATTTCATTCTGGGTGGAAGAACAGAGGGAAAACACCACCAGGAACAGCACCTACTAAAATGAACACTGTCCACACACTGTTTTTTGGCTGCATCTCCCCATGAACCTGAATTCTGATGGTAACAGCTGATGCTGAGTGACCTGACTTGCTGCTTCCCAAATTTCAGCTCGTCCCAGGGACACATCCCTGGTTTTAGCAGGGAGAGACTCAGCTCTAGGGATGGCAGGGGAGATTCCAAGCTGGATGACTGGGTTTCACTGGCATCCCTGAGCAAATCAGGCTGCTGAGTCACCACTTTGCACGTTTTCATTCAAACCAAACCCTCTGGAAAACCACAGAAATCCATCCAGAGCAGCCAATCCCGAGGATGCCTCGGCACTAAGAGGTCGTTTTTGGGGGATGAAGCACTTTGCAAAACTCCCTGGGAAAGGTCAAAGCAAGGTGTTGATGGTGTTTCTCTCTCACTCAAGCACACTAATTGACAAATATCCATTGGGAAATACACCTAGGTATGGAAAAAGCCCTGGCATGATGTTTCTTTGCAGGGAAAACAATGGATTTTAAGGTGTTAAAGCTCTGGCACAGGTGAGGACAACAAACACTGAGCTGGGAAGAGAGGCAGTGCAGATCCCTTCAAATTTCCACATCCAAATTCAACTGGAATGACTGAAGGAACACATTTCTACCTGTTCCCTGGAGATCCCTCTGCACTGGGATCCTCTGAGTGTCAACCAGCAGCCACAGGGACAGCACAGGGGGAGCACAGGAGGGATGTCCCACCTGCTGGAGCACTTTCTCCCCAGGAAAAGCACAAATCATAAATCATAAATCCTTTTCCCACCCTCTTAAGAGCTGATCTGTGATCACAACCGTGCAAAGCATTTTGGGGTCCACTGGTTTCCATCATCATCATCATCATCATCATCATCATCATCATCATCATCATCA